ATGGCCTCAACCTCTCAGAGATCTGCCTGCCTCTGCCTCCCAAGTGTTGCAGTTAGAGGTATGTACCACCATGCCCAGCCTTTACTGAACATTTTTAAAAAGTTCCTTATAGGGAATCTTTTCAGTTTTAAATTTTTATTTGTTATTTTTATTTATGTGTATGAGTGTATTGCCTGCATGTGTGTAAGTGCACCCATGTTGTGCAATGCCCACGGAGGTCAGAAGAGGGTGTTGGATCCCCTGGAACTAGAGTTACAGACAGTTGTTAGCCGCCATGTGGGTGCTGGGAACTGAATCTGGGTCCTCTGAAAGAACAACTGTGCTCTTAACCACTGAGCAATATCTCCAGCCCCTCTTTTCACAGTTTTATCAGAAGCTTTCTCACGAAGTTTGGTATTCTGTTGTTGGGGGTATACATATTAACATTAGCTATGTCTTCTTAGAAAACTGACCCCTTATCAACTGAGCAATCCTTCTTGTTCTCAATGGTTTCTCTTATTCTGAGGTTTTCCTTGTCTGAATTTAGCCATTCCCATTTTCTTTTGATTATTGTTATCATGGTATTTTATCATTTTCCCCATCCTTTTCCTTTTTAATCTACATATTGGAAGATTAATCCTTATATATAAAATGTGTTTATTGTAGGCAATACATATTTCGTTCTTGTTTCTTTTATTGTTGGGCAATCTCTGTCTCTTAGCTGGTGCATTTACTATTCATATTTGGAATGATCATTGATATTCCATTGCTATCCACCATGCTCATTACTGTTTTCTTTGCCCTGTGCTTTGCTCCCGTTTTTGCCTTCTACTCTTTTTCTGTCTTTTTCTGAACATTTTATGATTCCATTTTTGATGTTTTCTTTAAATGTTTGTTTGATAGTTTTGTTAATTTACGTTCTGCAGCTACAAATATTTGCACTTTTGTAATGAATATTTGTGCTTTTGTAACTGGCTTAATTCACACCATTAAGGTTCATGAATATCATTTTGTTTCTTTGAATATCAATTCTCCCTAGTTATCTTCCTCTTCCTCCTCCTCCTTCTCCTCCTCTTCCTCAGATTGCCTTGGAGTTTGTGATACATATTTATAATTCATCTGAATCAACCTTCAAATAATACTATACAACTTCAGGAGTAGTACAAGTAATTTATAATAATAAAATAATATGAATTTTCCCTTCAGTCTCTTGTTTATTGCTTTTTTTATTATTTTACTTATGAATAAGCATACATATGTGCACCCATGATCAAAGGCACATTTACATTACTCTAAGAAATGCTTGTATATTAGATCAATTAAAATTAACAAAATATAAGCTGTTTTAGCTTCATTTTTTCTTCCTTTTATGATTCCTTCTTACGTAAACCCAAATTTCTCACTTCTATCATCCCCCTCCCTTTGAAAAACTCTGAAAATTTCTTGCAAGGCAGGTCTATCCACAACAAATTCTTTTGACTTTTGCTTATCTGAGAAAGTTTTATTTCTTTATTTTTATTTTCTCTTTTTTTTTTTTTTCTAAGACAAGTTCTCATGTATCCCAGGTTGACCTCAAACTGTCTAAGTAGCCAATGATGACCGTGAACTTCTGGTTCTCCTGCCTCCACTTCCAAGGTGCTGGGATTACAGACATGCCCTTCCAAACCTGTTAATTCTCCTTTATACTTGAAGAGTAATTTTAAAAATAAAGGACACAATTCTAGGCTGGTTGATTTGTTTTGGTTTTTCCCTTCTCAGTACTAGATATTTCATGTTATTACCTTGTTTGGGAAATTACCTATAAGCACATGTATTTGTGATTTGTTTCTTCTTTACTTTTTTATCTTTAATTTTTAGCCATTTGACTATGATATGCTTACGTACAACAGTTCAGGGTATATTACATTGTTCTGCATTTGTTCTTATTCATGGTTTCACAGATTGTTGGATCTGTAGTTTTGTGTCTCATATTAATTTGTGAAGAATCTGCATTACTGCAGCTGGAACCGTTTCTTTTCCTTTCTCTTTCTTCTGCTAATCCCATTATACGTAAGTCATATCTGTTTTAGTCTCTCCTCGGTTCTTGTGTATTTTCTTTCTACTTCTTTGTTTTGGAAACTTTTACAGATGTATCTTCAAGTTTGCAGATTCCTTTTTAAGTTGTGTCCAGTCTTCTAATGAACCCATCAAAAGCATTCTCATTTTTGTTAGTATTTTGATCTCTAGCCTTGCACTTTGATGCTTTTGTGGGACTTCCATCTCTCTGAACACACTGTACACCTATTCTTGCCTGGTGTCTATTTTATCCATTGCAGCCCTGAGGATCTTAATCTTGGTTGCTCCCCGTGTCTGATTGTTCATCCCAATATCGCTGCCATATCTGAGTCTGGTGCAAATGAGTCCTCTGTTTCTTCTGTCTTTTAGCATACTTTTATATTCTTTTCCTGACAGACATGTTGTACTGGGCAAAATAAATCTGGAAAAAGCCTCTCATGTGTTGAAGGGAGGTGTCCCTTGTGCTTATGGGCCCTATAATTTTGTTCCAGTCTTTTAGTGAGCCTATGTTGTCGTGCCTCTGAGCTTTGACCTTCACAACTGCCTCTCAGTTTGACATGTACTTGGCTCTGGACAGCTAGAGAAGGATGGCTTTGAATACTTCCCTTCTACCAGGTAGTGAGTCTCTGATAACACTTCTGAATGGTGGCCCTTGTTAAGAACAGAATGCCCTGGTGCATTTCAGAATAGTTCCCTTTGTCTTCTCCCTGACAGAAGCATGAAGAGATTACTCTCCATTATTTACTATGAGAATTTGGTTGAGTTCCAAAAGTTAAGAATGCAGGGGATCTCTGTAATGAGGGATCCCTTAAGTTTTTAATCCACGTTATTCATGCAGCACCCCCAGGCATTTTTCAATGGTAGCTTAGGTCTTACTTCTCCTGGGAGTGGTTCCCTAAGGTTTCTGCTTATGGATTTCCGCTCTATTAAATTGTGATGCTCAGACACTTTCTGCAGCTACGTGTAGCTGTATCTTTATAGTGCCTCTCATTTTCTTTTGATTGTTGGTAGCATGAAATATTTTATATTGTTCTACATCTCTTTTCCTTTATTTGATGTGTATCTTAGCTATAAAGCGAAACTTCCCTGTGACATCTATTCCCTGGCAGATCTAAGAAGAGTTGTTTACTCTTTGGTTTGTTCAAGCTATTGAGATGGGTTGACAATGCCCAAATTTATTATAGGTCAGACTACAAAAAGAAGTTTCAATGCACTTTTCTATGACATACTTTTATGGTATAATTTACATACCATAAAACTTTTACAAGAATTTAAATTAATGATACACTCTGTAACAGTAAGTTTTAGAACAGTAAGTTTCATCACACCAGAAAATTCCCACATACTCCTTAGAGATTCCTGTTCCTATCATCAGTCCTAGGCAACCAGTGATCTACATTTGTCTCTGTAAATTTGCCCCTTCAGGTATTTTATATGAAAAGAATCACATAATCAATATACAGTTTTTTAAATTTACCTAGCTTTTGTTGCTTACCATGTTTTAAAATTTTATGTTATAGTATATATCTTAAAGATTTTAAAACTAAAAATACAAATGAAATAACTGCTAGTTATTAGCAATATTTAACTAGATTGAGAATGAGTCAATATATTACTCAAACTCACTGTTTTATAAGAACACCATCTGGTGAGTTGATGACAGATAAAATATGATTATGCTACATATAGATCATAATCACAGGTTATTGACGAGCCAAAATTATTCTGAAGAACAAAGTTTGACCAATAGAATTGTTTTAAAAATATACTTATATACTGTACCAGGGGGTTGGAGAGATGGCTCAGCAGTTAAGAGTACTTCAGAGGACCTAGTTCAAATCCCAGCACCCATGTGGTAGCTAACAATCATCTATAACTCTAGCTCCAGGTGATCTGATGCCCTCTTCTGACCTCTGTGAGCACTGCATAACACAGGTGCACTTACATACATGTAGGCAATACACACATACACATAAAATAAAAATAATAAATAAAATACTTAAAAAACAATATATTGTAAAAAAATAATAATTCTTTCCAGTTCTAGAAATGCAACCCAGGGACTCACATGCTCTACCACTGCACTCCATTCCCCACTCCCCAGTAAATAATGTTTGAGCAAAATTGCTCTGTGGAAGACATATCATATACAGATTTATATGACTAATTTCCACCTGAAGGTCTAATTAGCCTTGTCAAGCTAAGGGAATAGTTAACATCTGATGATTCTGAAAACCATTCTGTAAGGTATAAGGCTGTGATGGGCTTATCATTGTAAAGATCCTGAAAGTCACCAAATGCTCTTGTAGAGAAACTGCTGTACTTACAAATTGTCCTCAAGTCTCTTCAAGGATTCCAAAACTAATGAATGGACACTGTCTAAGGAGCAGGATCCAAAGCAGTTCAGAGATGGGATGAATCTGATTTTCATAACCCAATCATTATGCAGCTTCCTTTTAACACTGGGAATGTAAAGGGGGGAGTGTTAACATTAGATGCACATGATCACATGATTTTAACCAAATCACAACTATGAACCAAGTGAAGTTCTGTGTATACAGTAGAGCCCTATGCATTATACCATTTTTAACTGTTTAACTTTCCCTAATCTAGCATATTTAAAATGGAAAAAACAGCTTTAAAAGACTTTTGTTAAATATTGATTTGTAAATTCAGCGTTAAAGGTGTGACTCTCGATTTGATTGAATCTAGAGTCACCTAGGATACAAACCTCCGTTTGATGCATCTATAAAAAGAGGCTTCCCTGAGGAGCACCTTGAATGTGGGTGGCTCCATGGACTGGACTCATGGACGGAATAAAACATGAGAGCCAGCATTCACCACTCTGCTTCCTGACTGCAGATAGAATGTGACCAGCTGCCTCAGGCTCTTGCCACCATGTATTCCCACCATGATGGACTGCATCCCTTCTTAAATCCAGAGCCAAAATAGGCCCTTCCTTCCTTAAGTTAATCTTTTGGGTATTTTATCATAGTGACAAGAAAAGTAACTAACAAAAAGGAAATAATCTAGAAGAATCTCAATCTAATACAGGCTATCTTTTTCTTACTCTAATGAAATAAATTCTGATCATCCAAATGGATCATGTTTCAAACTGTTTTATATTTTCTAAAGAAATTCACTTCAAAAACAGATCTATTAATATATTTTCCATTAGAATTTTCAAAAGTGAAGACCTGGGAAATTTATGATCTAATCATTGGTAAGCTAAGGCTAAGATATCATCATATCAATCAACGTTTGATTGAACAGCTTAAGGCTGGAGGCCAAAACTTCTGCCTCAAAATCCTTGTCCTTGTTTAGAGTATATGAGATACTTAAATGAAGATGTGTTTATGAATTTCATCACTGTGTACAATGAATATATGCAAATTTAAAAATATTTTATTTGTTATTTTCATTTTGTGTGTATGAATGTATTGCCTGCATGTAAGTAAGTGTACCCATTTCACACAATGCCCACAGAGGTAAGAAGAGAGCATCAAATTCCCCTGGAACTGGAGTTTCAGGTGGTTGTTAGCCTCCATGTGGGTGCTGGGAATGGAACCTGGGTCCTCTGCAAGAGCACCCAGTGCTCTTAACTGCTGAGCCATCTCTCCAGCACCAAATATATGTAAACTAAACAATTAAAAGAACATGAGAAAGAATCCTTATGCCTGGCATGAATGCAAGCTAGTCCAGCCACTATGGAAGTCAGTATGGAGATTCCTCAAAAAACTAAAAATATATCTACCACACCACTTAGCTACACCATTTACACAAAGGACTCCAAGACATCACATCACAAAGATACTTGCACATCGATTTTTATTGCAGCACTGTTCACACCAGCTAAGTTATGCTGCCAACCTCAGTGTCCAACAGAGGAATGGACAAACAAAATGTGGCACATATGTGTATGCATGTATAAATGGTTTTTTTCAGCCATGAAGAATGAAGTTATATTGATTATAGAAAAATGAGTACAATTGAAGACACTCATTTTAAGTGAATTATGTCAGTTTCAAAAAGATTGATATCTTACATTTTCTCATATACAGTTCCTAGATTTTGTTTAGATATGTAAAATCTATATGAATGTCATATGTATACATGATTTTGTATGGATATATATGACATTCAAGTAGAAGTGAAACTCTAGGGGAACAAAGGAGACTAAATAGAGGGAGAGGCAGGGAGAGAAAGAAAGATGAGGTGTTGCAGTGGAGATATCCTCAACATGCAATACACTTTTATGAAGATGTCCTTATGTAACATAATGTCATGTACAATGAATATACACAATGAAAATCAAATAAATAGAAAAGGGAATTGGGGGCTGGGGAGATGGCTCAGGTAAGAGCACTTGCTCTGCAAATATGCAGGCATGAATTGGAATCCCCAGCATCCACATAAAAAGTCACGCATGTAACTCCAACATTGAGGGGAAGACAAAAGGGGTTCTCAAGAGCTCCCTGGGCTGGCCAGACAGCCTAGCTGAAACAAAGGACTTCTGGTTCAGTGAGAGACCCTGTCTTAAGGCACTACAGTGGGGAATGGTGGAAGACACCACACACTCTGCTTTAGCCTCTGCATGTGTACACACAGGTGAGTGCACCCATATACTCACATGCATACACTATACACACACACACACACACACACACGCATGCACACACACATGTAAAGAAATAAATGATAGTGAAAAATTAAAACCCAAACTCACAATATTTTCTAAAACCCAAAAACATTCTTAATAACTAGGAAGGAGGCTGTATTTATTCATTTTAAAAGGTTTTTCATTTCTTCTGTCACACCCATTAGTGAACACCTCCTGAATCACAGGTACAAGGACATAATGATGATTAGGGTAAGATTCTTGACACCATGTCACTTCTAGCTGAGGAACAAACATGTCTGTAGCTCCAGGCATGACAACTGTACAGCATGGAATTGAACACAGTGGGAAAGAACATTTCTTTTTAATTCTAGATTTTGTTTAATTCTGAGCTCTAGAGGGTGGCTGATTCTTTCATTTGTACAGTGTTCGGTATACAATACCTGCTAGCTGTATCCTCACTGACTTAAAATGAATGAAATCTGAGAATGTCAACACAGAGGAAAACTTTTATGATGGCTCTAGAAGTTAACCACCTTTATATGTTTCATTCTGTCAAGTTTCAATATCTCTTGGGGGAAGAAAATGTGTTATCACTCAGCCTATATATATACTTGAGTCTTAAAATATTTAAATAGACTTCATGGTGACCCTCTTTGTGAAAATTATCCCCTGAGGAACCAGTGTGAATCAGCACTCATTTAACCAAACCCAGAGTCCTCACTTCCTCCCCTTCCCTAAGCTCTTTTATGACATATCTAATGGGAAGAGGAACTGAGGATGGACCCTGTTCTTCTGAGAACAGGCCCACCTCTAAGTGGAGAGAAAGTTCTATTCTCTGGGTCTATCATGACTGGAAGGAGAAGCTCCTAGCACAGAGGGCAGCACACCACACAAAGAAGCCCCCTCTGAGGTCTAGTCCTTTGGTGGGACAAAGTAACAGCTCAGATGTGAAAGACAGAAAAATGGAGGTAGTTTCTTGACTACTGTGTCATTCTAGAGTTCTAGCAATGGAGAAGAAAACAAAACATTTCTCTGAAGTCTCATTGAGAATCACTGTTAATACTTTAGATGTTCACATTCAATGTTTTTCTAAATAGAAATACATACATGAACACACACATATATGTGCTGTATGTACAAAACCCAGTTCATGTGTTTGTATAAAAATAGTTATTTGTGGTGTGGGGGATCAAATCCAGGGCCTTGCTCATGCCGGTCAAGCTCTCTACTGAATTACACCCTCAATCCCCAGATAAATCTTTTTAAAAATAACATTATATCATAAACTTTTTTCACATTGTTAAGTATTTTAAAAATATAATTTGACTCATATGTGATGTGGAATTTTTAAATGTATACTATGATACATTGAGCATCTTTGATAGAATAAGTATTTTTAGGAGTCTGTCAAAAAAAGTCTTTTTGTTCTTTGCTTGTTTGAGATAGGGTCTCCTAGTCAGGCTAGCCTCAGATTCATATCCAGCCTAAACTGACCTCAAACTCACAATCCTCCTGCCTCAGCCTCTGTAGTGCTGGGATTATAGGAGTATACTACCACACGTGGCAAAGAAATGTATTTTCTATAGAAATATATTAAATAGGTATAGAACTATCTATACTATACATGAATATTTATTAATAGCATTTACTTAACAGTATGATGTACATCTTATATATTATATAACAGAATTATTTATGGAAATGATTAGTCATTTAAATAAACCATTCCTCCATTGTTGTACACTAGATAATTTACCATTAGGAATGATATCACGAGGATTAGACTTACTCTTTAAGCCCATAGAGACTCTGGGTCCCAGGGCATTAGTGCTTATGAAGACACTTGGCATATCTTTTCCCATTTGCTTTCCAGAAAGGTTGATGCAACTCCCACGCCCATCAACCATATTTGGAAACACCCACCTCATAGCATCTTCCTTTTCCAATTTTATAAGTGAATAGCTGTACCTGATTTTGTTATACTCCTTTATTAATAAGAAAAACATCTAATACATAATTTATGTTTTTCTAAAAATAAGTGATATATAGCTTTGCAGTTATCAGGCAGACAGTCCATTACTTCATCAGCTGGTGATTGGTTTTGCTTGATGATCATTCTGAAATGTACATTGATTACTTAATTGCATTATGTGTACATGTGTGAACCATCTGTTCATGGTCTTTGCTTATTTTTCCCTTAGAGAATTTAATTTTTTGCTTTATTTTTTTGTGTTTGCATGTATTGCATGCATGTATGCAAGTGCATCCATGTCGAGCAATGCCTGTGGAGGACAGAAGAAGGTGTTGGATCACCTGGAACTGGAGTTACAGATGGTTGCTAGCCGCCATGTGGGTGCTGGGATTTGAACCCAGGTCTTCTGCAAGAATAGCCAGTGCTCTTAACCATTGAGCCATCTCTCCAGCCCCTAGAGAATTGTTTTTAAATTGAACTCTAAGGCTTATTAAAGCCAACCAACCCACTGTCTCTCATATTTATGATACTTATTCCAAGTAGTTATTTTACTTTTTAAATGGACATACAGAGGTTTAATTTGGCATATACTTAAATTTATCAAACTTTTTCTTTGAGATTTATATCCATTGCTTTTGTGTTTAGAATCTTCCATATTTGATTGATAGTAAATAGTCATATATTTATATACATATATGTAACTTTTTTGCATGATTTCTGGTTTCTCAAATACATTCAAGTGTCTATAGATTTTAACTGCCACATCACTGAAACAGGAATTTCAATTACTAATTATATGTCTTCTCTATTATCTTAGAAATTTCTTGATGAAAAGGAAGCATTCTGTTTCTTGTGTTTTCTGGAAACAGAGGCTTGCTGTGTCAGCCCAGGCTGGCCTAGAACTTACTGTATAGCCCAGGTTAGCCTCAAACTCCTAATTCTTCTGCCTCTATCTTCCAGAGACTGATACTACGGTATATACCACCAAGTCTAGCTTAAGAAGTATTATTTGTTTAGCTTTGAGTCTCAGATCCATACTCTGGGTGTCTTGTACCTTGTTTTATACACACACACACATATGTATAAAACTAAACAATATCTATAATTAGTAAAGCAAACGGCATAGTCATGTGATACCCTTACCTTTTAAAGTTCTTGGAGTCTAAGACCTGAGTTTCCGTTTTCTTTTTGGTCTTTGCCTGTTTGAGTTCAAAGTCATCACTGTTTATGGTGAATCTGTTCACAAACCCCCCGTCATCCCCCAGAAGGATGTCATCTCTGTAGAGCTGGTCAGGCAGTGGCACCACACACACACATAGCAGGCAGTGGTCCATGGGCTTGATGATGAAATAGTTCTCCTGGAAGCAGAAGGGTGCTTTGAATGAGCTGTTATGTCACTCTAAGTAACACACCTTGCTGGGGTTTTAGCTCAAAAATAGAGCACATGCTTAGCATGTGAGTTCCATTTGCAGTTTCACATACACACAAAAATGAAAAATAAAGAAAACAGTTGTCCATATTATTAGATAAAAGTTTTATTCTGTGACATTTTTCATTTTAGATACTCCCACAGCAGTAAAGGAACCTGAAAAATGTAAGCAAAATTAAGCAAATAAACCATAACTCCAGTTCCAGGGGATCTGACAGCCTCTTCTGTCCTCCATGGGCATTGCACGACATGGGGGCACTTACCTACATGCAGGCAATATACACATAAAATAAAATATAATAATAATAATAACAATAAAGTAATGATTACTCACTGTGAACCCAGCTTATACTTCTGGGTGTTTTGTGGGGAAAGGAATAGAGTAACTCCCTCTGGCTGAACAGGAAATGGGTTTTTAGGAAGTATGGCTGTGAATTGCCTTCTCTTGGATTTGTAAGTAAATATGGACAAGAAGCATAAAAAGTGGTCAGGCCACTTACATAAAACTGGATAATACAAAAGGAAAATTCCATGCTTAACTTTTTTTTTTTTTGAAACAGGATCTCATGTGGCCCAGGCTGGTCTCAAACTCCTTATACATCCTAGAGTGGCCTTGAACTTCTGGTCTTCCTGCTTCTATCTCCCAAGTGTGTGCCTCCATGCCCAGTTTATAGGAGGCTGGGTGTCAAATCTAGGACCTCATGCATGCTAGGCAAGGCCCATAAATTTTATAACAAATTATCAGGAGAAAAAACATATCTTAACATTCAAGCTTATCCAGAAATAATCAACAACCACTTTCAAGCTGACTCATTACTAATGAATGGGTTTACTGAGCTAGGTAGCTACTGCTCTTTCAGAACTCAGTCTCCATTTAAGACAGAAGAAAGGCAGACCATTTTAACTTTTTTTAGTTGTTTTATTTCCTTAGAATTAGCAAGAGTTGACACATTTAAAGGTTCATTTAAGCCATTCAGCAAATATCTCATGAACACCAACTATGGCCAAAAATTATTCCAGGCATGGCTGTACGGTGATGAACACAACAAAGCTGACTCCGTGGAGACACCTTGTGAGTGGGAAGACTGCAGAGTGAAACAGAGCATGTACTATGCTGTGCACATAAGGAAATTAATTGGGATAGTGCTGTGTACAGATGAGAGGACACCATTAGATTCCATAGATCAGGGAGGTGACCTTTGATTTGGGAACTGAGCTGATAAGGTGGAAGTGGAAGGGAAGAAACTCTAGATTAGAAGATTGGTATCAAAAAGGTTGGAGAGGGACGAGATGGAGCTTTGTCTTGGCCAGAACTTGAAGGTTAGAGCCTATTGCTCAAGACAAGACATACTTCGCACACAGGACTTGGAACAATGGAGCTAGAATTGACCTGGAAGCCTCCTCCCTGAAGACTAACTCTCATAGTTTTGGAGGAACTATGAAAACTGCTAAGGGAGAAAATCAATCGGTGGTCCAACCCCAGCTTTAAAGCCTAATAACCACAACAGTGACCAACACAGCTAACTATATTGGTGTGGTAGTGGCACTTTTATCTTGGGAGTAATCAACAGCTACCTAATAGGACTTAAAGTCCACTCAACAGGAAGGAAGTTATGTGTGGTAGTGTATTAGTAGCCAAGTACACATGGCTGGAGAGGTCATAGCTCCTAGAGAAAACCCTACATCTGTCACATCCCTAAACAAGCATAATTCCTTACTATATGCTAAATATGGATCCTTATATTTACAGACAAGTATGCCAGTCACTACTTATTGAAGAAGTTTCTTTTGCAACAGAGTCTAAGAATCCACAACTGGTCATACACACACAAGTATCTGTGAGATGCCCAACCCTAAATGACACCATTAACAATGGAACCCCTACACCTAAGGCTCATGGAACACAGTAGAACAAGTGGTATAGAGAACACTAGTGCATCTCTCTATTCTCATCAGCGAAGCTTCCTCATGCAACAGAGGGCACTGAACACAGCTGACCAAAGTATAGAGAGTAAGAGAATGCAGAGTATGCATTCCTGGATAGTACTCATATTAAACCTTACCCACCCAGGGCTCAGGAATCATTGCAGAAGGGGGCAGAATCCTCCGGGCTCCTGGTAACTTCATCATATGAACTTATAGCAATAGCGTCAGCATGCACAAGACCCAGGTAAACTCAATCAGACAAAAACCAGCATAGAGCTTGGAAAATAGGCAGGAGGTCTCAACCTTAGCTGAGGAACTATTGGAAACTGATCACTGCTTCGTGAAGGACAGTCGATATTCTTTACGTGAGTGATGCTAGATGGGCTGAACAGGCTTCCAGTGGATGAACTCACAGTGAGGGACATTTGGGTTCACAAACTTCTAATCTCTCAAACTTCTCTGAATATGACAGAATGTATGAAATCCTGTGAGTGGGCCATAAGTGGGTACATATAGGGGAGGGGTCTAAATATAATTAAGATCTGTTGTATGAAATGCCCAAAAGTCAATAAAATATACATTAAAAAACAAACAGAAAACCCAATAATAACAACAGAAAGTAAAAGAATCACCTCTTCCTCTCAAAATCAAAACAGGAAAAAAAGCATCCTGAATGAAAACTGAATGGAACAAGTATTCCCTTTTCATCACAGGGTGCTGATGCTGAACTTGATCTAAGTGCTTAGTAAGTCCTCGCTCTCATTTTATATAGATGGCATTCACGAGCATGGTTGGCTCGTACCCTGATCTACACAGAACTGACAGTCTCATTTCTGTACATTATTTCTCTTGGCACAGTACCTGGCTACTTCCTTGAGCTTTATAATCCCAGACAATAATGGTCCTTTCTGTCGTGGCGACGATTCGTTTCAGCTGGCCGAGGTAATCACAGCCTGTAATCCAGGAGATATCCTGATAGAAAAACATAGCATTGGAAGTTAGAGTGCTAGGGATGCAGCTCAGTGGTAGAGCACTTGCCTAGCAGGGCTGAGGCCCAAGGTCCCTATATTCAATCTCCAGCATTGGGGAGGGAGGGAGGGGAGAGAGAGGGAAGAAAGGGAAAGAGGTGGGAAGAGGGAGAGATAATCGGGAATTACAATGAGTTCCCTTCTACTACATGTTTGTTGGATACCAAGAAGTGGGATGTTGACATTAGACGCCTCATTTGGCAGAGGAGGTGACAATGCATCCCCTTGAGTGGTGTGAGGAAAGGGAAAGGCTTCCCAGCCCCCGCCCCTTACACTGTGTGTCTCAGCACTGTCATCTGAAGACTGATTCAGCTAGCATGGGAACTGCTCCTTAGAACACAGCAGCTGGGTGAGCAGTGGCTTTGGAGCGATTCACTTCTATAAGAACGTTTCTTTTTTTCCTTTTTTTAAAAAAATTAATTTCATTTATTTAATCGTGAGCGATCATGGGACAACTTACAGGAGTTGGTTCTATCCTAATCAAGTGAGTTCACAAGCACAGGTTAGTTTTGGTGACAAGCACCTTTACTTGCTGAGTCATTTCACTGGCCTGAGACCATTTCTTTACTTGGGAGGCTAAATTCAGGTCTCTGATTGTACAAGTTCTCTGACCCTGCTACTCTGCGGCCCAGGAGTCTGCCTTCGGTCTTGAAAACAGCAACAGCACACGACTGAGCAGAAACCACAGCTTCCACTCATTGCCTGAGTGCCAGAAACTGCTGTGGGCCTTCCCGGCATGCACTAGAATCTTCCATAACACCGCCAGGAATTCTAATGGATTTGTTCTGTTAAAGAAATGGAGGCTCAGAGGTTTAAAGAGAGTCCAGGCTCCCTTGCCAGACAGTGCTGAGCCTCTGGGTAGTTCAGTACACTCATTTGGTGTAAACAAACAGGGTGAAAAATCCAGCACTCTCCCAGCTCTCCACAGGGGGTTCAGAAAGCAAGCAGCTGCAGCTTGCCATCCACCAGAAGGTTACTGTTCAGACTAGAGATACGGAGTAAGCGAATTACAAAATTGCACTAGAATTTCTACAGTGTCTTCAAGTTTATAATAAAATGTTCTCAAATTATTTCCATGTTTTTCTCATAATTTGGGTTATGTCCATTAAAAAAAAATCTCTTAATAGGGTGCTCCGAAAAACTTAGATGCTTTTAGTTAAAATTTCAGGAAGTAACCAGTTTCTGAGCAATTCTCTGCAGATAATTCAACTCCAGGAAGAAGATCTGGGTCCTTCTGTGCTACTTGGTCTGTGCTATTGTGTTTGTGTGTGAGGGAGAGAGAGTGTGTGCTACCTCAGGTATGAGTCTTCACATCCCATCTTGTCTGAGACCCAGGCTTTTTGCTGCTGCTTGTGATATCATAGCCAGCTTACAAGCTTCTCTGATTTCTCCTGTCTCCACCTCCCATCTCCCCATGTAAGCACTAGGATTACAGACACACATTACTCTGTGCGGCTTTGCATGGACATTGGGGATACGAACTTAGATCCTCACACCTCCACAGCCCCTATGCAACAGCTTTAGCGCCTATTCAAGGAGGCACTTCATCGAGAGTTTGATTAATTGTGGAGAACTATCACAGATCTAACTGATACAATTCAAAAGTTTTTAAATGTACTCACAGTGACATTGGTGCTGGTCTGAATTCTCATCTATGAGTAAAGGGAGAGAGAAATGAAATCTCATTGACACTCCTGTTAAGGATAAGAAAGCTGTGACCACACTGTCTTGCTAGTTTGGTCTCACTTCTCCTACCTGCTAGTGGCTTCCTTTCTACTTCTCCTTCCCCAGACACATCCAGCTGCTGTAGTAATACAACGGTTTGCATAGAGCAGGATTTCACCTCTATGGCTGGTGCTTAACTCTGGTGACTGTGCTCTTAGCATTCTTACATTTTACCAATTACTTTGTTCAGTCTCCATGCAAACCACCTCACTGTTTTCAGGTATTCAGGGCAACATTTGAGATGAAAAGTTAAAAATGCAAAATGAGACAGCAACAAGAGGACTATGTCAAAGAAACCCAAACAGCAATACGCATGTACAGCAAGGTAGGAAAACAGCAGTGTTTCACTTGAAAGATCCTCAGGTTCCTGGAAGTCTTACACATTCTCTCCAGGAGCCCTCTTCTCTTATTCAGTATCTGTGTGTGGATATTCTGCTCTGGGTTCTGGGCTGATGTCATAGTTAAGGCCCAAGCAGAGAGCTAGTAGAGAGAAGCACTTCTAAGGCCCTTGGAGGCATGAAGCCTGCTCCCAAGGTGAAGGGAAGCAGAAGTATCTCAATGACCCAGTTTCCTCTGCTTGTCAGATGGTCTTGGGAAATGTCTCAGAAATGACTTCCCAGAAGGAAAGGATTATGTGAACAGAAAAGCAGATCAAGGAGAGCTCTAGAATTGTTTCTCAGGGCCACCCACAGACTCTGTTTCATCTGAAGTGTGCCAAAAGGCTTCCCAACCAGGGACGTATTTCTGGTTAAGAAAAACTAGTGCTGTAAGGACGTTGGCAAACAGCAGAATAGAACACTGTGGTTTTATCTTTTACTTCCTGGAATGGTTAGTGTAGTCAGCTTGACAGGATCTAGAATCTCCTAGGAGATGGATCTCCAGGAATTATCTAGATTAAGGTTAAGCTCTGAGGATGTCTGTGAGGGATTGTCTTGATCAGGTTATTGGCACTGGAAGATCCATCTTAACTGTGGGCAGGACCATTCTCTGGGCAGGGATTCTGGGCTGTATAAAATGGAGAAAACCAGCTAAGCGAGAGCATGCTTGAGTTCACTGCTCTGTTCTGACAGTTGACACAATATGACCGGCTGCTTACCTCCTGCTGCCTGACTTCCCTGCCATGATGGATTGTACCTTGAACTGTGAGCCAAAATAAACCCTCTCTTCTTCAAGTGGCTTCTGTCAGGTGTTTATCACAGCAATAAGAAAGGACACAATGAACTTCCCTACATGTACCTTTGGGGGAATCATCTATTTAAAGTCTTCTTCATAATCCTTATGGATAGGTTTTGAGTCTTTAAAATGTACCTTGTTTGAAGGAATTTTTATTAATGACATTTCCAGTCTATATCACCAAAAAAGCCCTTAGCTGTATTCATTCTACTTCAGATAAAGTCTAAATTATGGAGTAATCTACTAAAAGATATTTGGAGTTATTAATGACTACTTTTTCAATAAGTTATCCTTGTGACCTATACAGGGAAACACAGGATTTTTCTCCCATGATCTTATTTTTAAGGCATATAACATTCCAAATATTATTTGTTCCTTTTTACACCAAATTTTAACATAATTTTTAAGCAACCTCTTGTCTCCAGTTGCATTTGTGTGTGTGTATGTGTGTGTGTGTGTGTGTGTGTGTGTGTGTGTGTGTGTGTGTGTGTATGTACCATCTCTGGAGGTATGGCAAGGCCACATCGCCTCTTTCACATAATCAAGAACTATTTTACAACATCAATTACTTTCCTCCTCATATTATTCTTTAGATCTCATCTTAGCTCTGGTTTTGAAGATACAAAAGTCAAAATGAGAAGGGAAATAACTTTCTGAGGCGGGGAAAGGAGCTAGGGAAGGATTTCACATTAAAAGAGGTTGCATTTCAGATCATTTGTTCACAATCGCAATTGCCAACATCTGTTGGGTGCTCACAGTGAAGAAGCACATTATACATATTAACTCATTTAACCAGCCCTCTCCTTGGGAGGAAAGGTTTCACAGCTCTTGATGAAATTAAGTACCATGCCCTGCTAAGTCTACTATAGGGTAGAGGGCAGGCCCCACCACTGCAGCCCAATATCCCAGTGCCTGGTTGGTCCCTTTTCTGACAATCTGATTGCCCTAGATGCTCACTTTTGAAGGACTCTCTGAGTGAATGGTTGGTTATTATTATTGAATTTTTAATCATGTGATAGTTATTTCAAATACATTTTACTTATATAAGTATTTGTATAAATTTACTTGTCTCTAGTTAGAAATGAACTTATAATTTTTATTTATATTTAACACTAAGCTTTTATGTTTTTCACATGGAAATATAAAGAATATTCATCATACATTCTATGGAAATCTCTCATGTTTTAAAAATGTGAAAGTTCAACAATTATAATTTTATAATGAAATAATATTGATAATAGCAATGTCTTTGATATATGAAGGTATTATTCACAAAAAGCTCTATATTCCTTGTTTAATTTGATCTTCACAGTGTCCTCATTCTGCAGATGTGAAAATAAGTCACAGCAAAACATTTGCTAGAGGTTGAACCATTTTACTTCAAGGCCAATGTTCCAATATGGTCTTCTATTACTTGGCTGGATAATAAAAATCACTTGGCTTGCATACTTTTCTGGTTTTAACTGAGAAATCATCAGGACCATCCTTTCATAGTGTGGATGTCACATGATACACCACAACACTGAGAAACAATGCCAAATGGAGTCACCACAACCTCAAAACTCAACCCTGGGCTCAGCAATCTCCTCTTTACTAAGTATTTTGTTTTGTTTTTTGGAATAACTCTGAAATGAGGTTTCTGTGTTCCCTGAAACAGGCATACAATGCATAGATGAGACAGTAGCAAGGAAAGAAGAGAGGACGGGCGGGCAGGGGGCACGTTTTCAAATTACCTGGCTGTTAAAGACTGTTATAAATCCTTTCTGAGAAGCTGTTATCAGTAAATCGAACTGGGGGACCTTGATAATGCACTTAATCACATCTCGTCGTCTACTACCTGTCAACAGTACAAGATCAACATCAGATGCCAGTGGTAAAGGTCCTAAAGTTCATTTGTAATGTTGGTCTAACATAAAAAAGAAAGAAAAAGTAAAATCTTTCTAGTAAAACATTTTACTAGAAAGCATTTTGTTAAAAGTTAAGATAAAGCCATACAAATTACAACCATTGCTTGATTTTTAATTGTCCTTAGTGATGCAATACCAACATAGAACATTCCAGTTAAATGTGGTGCATGATTTCTCAGAGAACACACAACACACACACACACACACACACACACACTACCCACACACACTGATATGGGCACATTTCACAGAGAATGGGTTTTCTAAACATCATTTGGAACTGTTTCTATTTTGAGATTTTTTTTCACATCTCTCTCTTCTTTGAAGTGTCATCACCATGTTCTAACACAAAATAAAATCCTTATGCTATCTCAGGCCTTCCAGTATAAAAGAATGAAACTACTTTAATGCTGTTTTTGGCTTTCAAAGACATTTTGTGCATTTTGGGAATAAAACACCAGACAATTTGATGTCCCTGTGCCCATAAAGCCATATATATGGCACTTCTTAGAGTTAGGTAACTTTTGTTTGTTTGTCTGGCTGGTTTTTAGTTTTGCAAGACAGAGTCTGACTGTGTAGCCCAGACTGGCCTTAAACTCATGGCAATCCTCCCGCCTCAATCTCTTGAGTGTTGGGATTATAGGTGTGTAATACCACACTCAGCTCCAGGATGATTTGATTTTCAACTGTAAATTCTTAAAGATGAAAAGAGGCGAACAGATCCCATATGCTAGCATTGCCACCTCATGCAAACATCAATAGAAAAAAACACTGCCCCAAGAGGGTACAATTGGTCATTCGGTCTAGGTGGTACTGTGTTGCATATAAAGGGCAGGTATGCATAATCAGATGCACCTGTTTAATATCTCAGAGATTGAATTATCCTGAAGCACGATGTGCTAGAAGAGGGGAGATTAGAAAGAAATGTCTAAAAAGATTCCTTGGGACTGTATAATGGAAAAAAGAAACCCACAAAACTTCAGCAATATTGTCCCAGTCCAGGACACTGCCATGCTCTCTGCTTTTAGTATTTTCAAGACAAATAGCAGAGAAAACATTTAAAGGATGCCTCAGATAGTGCCTCTCCTCCATCCAAGCTCTCTTGTAGCTCACCTTCTTGCTTGGAAGTCTTTAGCACTGTCCACAGAGTCCTATGTACCTGTCCTTCCCCTAGCCTCTGGCTTGCTGCCCACTCTACTCCTGCCAGAAATACACACTTTGCTCTCTTGCGTCCTCTAGGTATTTTCCCCCCGCCCAGACAGCAGGGGCTTCCCAGGATGCACTGCTGCTCCTATTCCCAGCCAACTCTGTCTCCTTTCTGGACTCCTGCTCGGTTTCCCTCCACACGTCACTCACTTTCTTCTCACAGCACTACTTAATACCATCTGACGTGCGGCATATTACTTGATTTGTTTTACTGTCTCTCTCTCTTACATTTCCATCTAAACCAGATGAAGCCAAGGAGTTTTGTCCATTTGTCCACTGAAGTGTCCCCAACACTCAGGAAAGTACCTGACCTACACTGAGAACCTTAACCAGTGGTTTAGAGAGAGATGAAACGGAAACAACTCCTAGCTACAAAAATATTTTCAAAGCGTTGATGGGATATTTCTGCATTCTGGGCCCTCTTTAGCTCAGTGGGATTAGGAGCCGGGACAGTCCCCTTATGTCTGTTTTTGGGTGATGATTCTTATGACCAGAGGCTGGGTTTTGGGAAGGTCAAGCCCAAGGTTACGAGCAACTGCTGTCAGTCCATGAGTTTTTTTTTTCCCCCTAATGCAGAGTCTTATATATCCCAGACTGAACTTAAACCCCTTCCATAGCTAAAGATGACCTTGAACTCCTGATCCTTTTGCTTCCACCTGCGAAAAGTGCTCAGATTATAGGCATGCACTCTCAGTTTATAGGGTGCTGGGGATCAGACTCACAACCTTCTGTATGTTAAGGGAGCACTCTGACAATAGAGCTATACCCCCAGCCCTCCCAGCTGCATATTTAAAGGAACACTAGACTCAAACATGGGCTGAAATGCTGAAAGAAAGGAGAGGGCTGTAGGTTTACCTTTTCTCTTCCCCACCTTCTCCCACCTTGGAGTGAATAAGGGAAGAAAACCTCAAGAGTCAACAGTGGAGAGCGATGGGAGTATCCAAGTCCCAGGCTTAAATTTGAAAAAGACAACACACAGTAACTGCAGTGGTGTTAAGCTGCGCTAATGCCCCTCCATGGCTGGGTCAAACTCAGTTTCAGAGATGTCACTGCATGGCCAGTCAGTGTCCCCGGGAGAATCAAGGGTGTGGAGGAGCCTTCACTTAGGAACTTAAGAATACTGTGAAGGCACAATTCTTTTTGGTGATAGTAGAGCTTGTACTACTGAAATGCCATCATAGGGAGGCTTACCTTGAGGTCCAAACTTCTTCGGGGTACTGTCTTTTTCACTCTCATGTTCTTTACTTAGCATCCTTCAGAGGAATTATAACATTTCCATTTCAATTGCAAGTAGTTTCCCTTGAAACATAACCTGAAACTGTTGCTCCTTCTACCTAGTTATGTGCAACTGAGCAAGTGGTTCTATTGAACCAATGAGTCCCCGTTACATATTTTTGAGAAAAATTATTAAAATTCACACTAATTTCGAAGAGAAATGTAAAAGTCACCTGAAATCTCAATTCGTTGTTTTTTAGACACAAGGAAAACCAAATTGTCTTCATCCATCTGTGTAGTAAGACCACCTTCATCGGAGAAATACCCAAAGATCTATAATCCCAAACAATATAGGTAAATACACAGTATTTCAGGGCTGGCTGTTGAGAAATAAAAGATTTGGTGCTGGCTGAATTAGTCAATTTGCATGGACTGCACCTTTCATGGTGATGTCAGGGAGCAGGGTGACCCCCTAGGAAAAGCAGGCACATCGCCATTCAACACACTGCTCACCACTGGTGCATGATTTCTTTCTTTCTTTTTTTTAATTTTAAGGTTCTTTTTTTTTTAAGCATTTCATTATGCCTTTAATGTACTCAATAACAATTTTCACAGCAAAGATACATCTCTTTCAAAAGTGCCTATAAAATTTTTAGGTTCACAGTTGAATTAATAGTTATACAATATTGAACTCAGTATAAACCCTGTAAGACACAAATTGAACAAGTTTTTAACCTTTAAAAAAGATCTCCATTTCATTTTAAAATATACTGCTTCTTACAGAAAGACATTGTTTTTGCTAATAACACTTAGATTTGGCGCATGTGTCCCTAACCTGTATGTATCTGATTATTACTAGTCATGGTTGGTTGCACTCAGGTCCTTGGCATGCATGTATGGATATATAGTCATCAGGTAGATTTCGATGGTAATGTTTATCATCTCTACTAATTAACATTATGTAAATTTTTATGCTTCCTCCTCAATATAACTCACTTTTTTAATTTGTTGATTTTTTTCTGTGTTTATTACACAGAACATCCCAAACAATCTTATTCATCTATAGACCCACTTCCCAGATGGCACCCTCCCATAGCCCACCCCCACTAGAGCACTTATACTCCATCATCCCTACTACTGTCTGCTGTGGTGTCGGCACCCCCAGCCATTCTCTAGTACTTGTCCATCTGGTGAATCTATTCAGCCTATCTAGAGGTCTTTGTTTTAGGAAGGTTAGCTGTTCCTGTAGCAGCAATTAGTTGTCAATATTCCTTTAGATAAGATTGGGATCTGCTGTTCATTTTCCCAGTTTTATGCTGGGTTATTATCTGGGAGTCCATTGGGCCACCCTGGCCAACAACTCAAAAGAAGGTTTCTCCTATCTGGCATTGTTGCTTGTTGTGTAGTCTTTAGCTATACATATGGACTCAAAAAATTATATTGGCCCCTTTAATCTTTGGTTATACTTTCTTTTTGGGTGTTTAAGGCCATACAATTTGCCCAGATAAACCAATTTATTTTTACTCTTAAGGTTGTTTGAGGATCTGTTCCTCAGGGGTCACATGGGCTTGGGAGGAGCCCCTGGCTCCTTTCTTTTACCAGTTCCGTCTATGTGAAGGTAAGTCAAAGGTCCTGCTCGACCATAGTTGGCTTCGCTTGGAAGCATGGAGGAAATGATTCCTCTGTGTTGACCCTCCTCTTTATAGACTGGACACTGGTTCAAGTCCATCTCATGGGGTCTCCTCAGCCTCCTTGATCAAGAGGACAAGTGACCCACCACAATAACAGGACATTTTGAGAGATGCTCATAATCCCCTGGAACTTAGTCCACCTAGGAGGACAAGGAACAAAAACTGTCCTTTATGTCCCTCTGACCAAATTATTATAGGCCTCAAAGTATGTCTGTTAAACAGACAAGAAGGTTAGTTCCACCAGTCTGGTACTTTTAATTACTGTGTATCATGTATATAAATCTTGGGCAAAAGACCAATTGTTCTCAGATAAACCAAACCTAGACATATATTTCTTGATCTGCTATGTATAATTTGTCATTAGGTTGTTGGAGTAATATGGTTCACTCTGGTTTTTAAAACTAGCTAGGCATTATTTATCTCTCGCATTGTCTCACCCCTCCATCATGGTTTCCCCAAATAAGGTGCCCCCATTTTCACCCTTTCTCCCTTAATAATACCCTTCTATGGTCCTACCTCTCTTGAGCTCCTTCTTTCCCTTTATCCCCTAGGTTCCTTGTATACCCTTCCCTCCCCACTACCTTAAACTAACCCAATTTTTATCCCTATCTCCCTTATTAAGGCCTGTTTCCTACTGTTCTTCTCTTTCAGGTTCTTTGTTTTCCTTTACCTCCCTGGTTCCTTTCCATTATCCTGGTTCCTGTAGTTATGTCTGGATACATATTCACTTATCAGGGTTTGGTTCTAGGATCCACATATGAGAGAGAACATATGTCAGGTTTTTGTTTTTGTTTTTGTTTTTGTTTTTGTTTTTTTCTGAGTCTGTGTTACTTCACTCCTCCAAGTCATAAGGTGACAAAAATCAAATTCCTCTCTACTTTTGACTGATCTAGCAGAGAAATCCCAGTCTTCAAAAACACACAAATAGATTTGGGTTAGTAATGGCTGTGGGCTCGTCTTGAGCACAGGACAGTGAGTCCCTTCCTAGTGTTACCTGCATTGTATTTGACACCAGACTTCTGCTTCCCATCCCTCTCTGAGAAGCCGTGCAGCTGAAGCTGTGTTTGGCTTGGCTTTCTTCTTTTCAAAATGTCACCTGTGCTTTTTTCTGCAGTTCCCAAGTGTCCTTCCATCTCATTTGTGAATTTATGATTCAGTTCCTCTTTCTCTCTTTGGAGTAGAATGTATTTCCTTTTACTGACTCTTCTTCACTGTGTCACAAGGTGCTGGCTTCAGTTCAGTCCTCTGACAGGGCTTTGGCCACAGGCTCTGTTGACTTTCTCACACAAAATAGCTTGAAGGAGTTAGATCATGTAGATACTTTCAGCAAGAATTTTCATCAAGAATTTCTGACCTAGGTGGTAGACACTAGGTAATTTCTATCCCCCTCCTCCTGAGATCCCAATGATGAGTCAAAGTTTAGCTCTACCAACAAGAACTTTAGGAGTATTTTTTTAAAGAGATGAACATGAAGCCTGGACCAGCAGATCTAGGTGTGGTACTACTCCAGGATTTTATGGCACCTGCATCAGTTAAGCTCAGCCTTTGGACTACAAGTTTGGCTGAGCTACCAAAACACTGAAAGACTCATGGCAAATTGACTTTTCCTTGGTCACCCAACCATGTGCAGAGCTCATAACATTAAGGCCCACACAACGGGACCTTCAATTTTGTGGTTCTTGTAAGTAAATTAGTCTTAGTTTCTAAATGCTTCATAGCTTATTCCCAAAATACTAGAGAAAACAAAAATGAGCCCAATTGCCAATCGGGTTTTGCTCCACCAGCTGACCTCCACCACATATAAATTCTTTGTGTTCTTATTACCTACCCTCTTCCAAAATAACTACATGTTCCATTTTTCATATGGAAAACATCTACTTTTATATTATGTTTAAA